GCAAGGCCCTCTTCCCTGACCCTTACTTCTAGTATATTTGGGATTATGATCTTTATGGTATTGATGTAGCATACACAACAGGGCATATCTGAAGACAAAGTTGGAAAAGGATATTGGAGGACTCTATACGCCAGATCTTGAGGGACTTTATATGTCATTTTGACAAACTCGGACTTTATCTTATGGGTAACTGGGGAAAAGAGTTTTAAGTTAAAAGTGGTTTATTCAGCTTTATGGACTTTATAATTTACTACAGCTGTAGGGAGCTTCTGCTAGATGAATATTGGTGGAATAAAAATGAAGGCATGAGGACAGTAGTGAGGTCATTGCAGTGGTTCAAGTAGAAGACAATGAAGGTTTAAATTAAGATGGCAGTTTGAAGGTGTTTATTGGACAGTTGAAAATACTAGCCTGAAATTCACAAAAAGGTTCTGAAATGGAGACATAAAATTGGGAAACTTCAAGATAGAAGGCAGAGTTTCAACCTTGAGAATGGATATATCTCACAAGGAGAGGGTATAGAATGAGAAGCTTAGGGGATTCATATCGGAATCTGGTAAACACCAACAACTAAGGGACAGCAAAGAAAAAAACACAAAGAAGTCAGAAAAAAAGGTCAGAGATGGGGAAAACCAGTAGCCTACATTGCCATGGTATCCCAACAACACAGGAATATAGAGAAGAGACAAAGGGGTAAATACAACTGAGAAATCTGGTAATATGAGGACTGGCATGGTCCTATTGGTTTAGCAGCAATAGCATCATCAGCATTAGTTAGAACATCAGTAGCATGGTAGGGACAGAAGGTTTGTCTTTGTGGGAGGTGAGAAATAGTGTTAGCACTCCAGCATTCAGAAGTCCAGCTACACTATGGAAGAGAGAAAATGGGAGAGACATACAAAGAGAGAGAGAGAGAGAGAGAGGTGAGAATCAACAAAAAGTATTTCTGAAGCTGGAAAAAGTATTCCCAAGATAAGGAACAAAGCCAGTAATGAATGAGAAATAGGATGATGCTACAAAACAGAATGGATAAGTGATTTCAGAAGGGCCCAACTGGAGAAACTGGTCTTGAAAAGAAGGAAAAGCCCTTTCCCTTTGAGATAAAGGGAGATGGACATAGATTAAACAGAAACATCAGCTACTGTCTTATTTATCCTTTTATTTCCAGCCACTTTCTTCAGCATTGTGACGTGTATCTTTCACTTCCTCTCCCCTCAATTTGTCATCCTTTGGCTTTTACATGCACCACTCCCCTGAAAGTTCTCTTTTGTAAATCATTAATAATTACATTCTTGACAAATCCAATTACTTGGTGACCGCCACCTTGTTATTGAAATAATTTGTTTTCCTGTAGTTCCTGTAGTTATTTTTTCCCTTTTTTCTTTAATTTTCCTTGCTCTTTTCTTCCAAATGTAAATATTCCTTTATCTCTTCATGACAAGCTCCTTGACTCTTGCTGTTTCCACCATTGCCTCCATGCAGAGGACACCCACGTATACATCTCCAGCCTTGCCACCGTCTGGAGCTCTAGTTTTACATTTAGAAACACCTACAGGATAATACCTGCATGTAATCTGGCACTTTAAGTATATCTGAAATTAATCTTGTCTCCCCTCTCCAAATGATTTTTAACTTTTTTCTCAATTTTTATTAAGAATATCAATAATATTCTTATAGCACCCAATCTGAAAAACATTATTGTCATTAAATTATCTCTCTTTTTTTTTCCCTCCAAAGTCGGTCAATTCTGAAATTCCACTGAATCTACTTCTATACATAGCGTTCACATAATCTCCTTCCTTTCCAATCTCATAACTAATACCCAAGTCCAGGTCCTAAAATTGGCCAAATACTATTACAAAGCTTTCTAACCAACCTGCCTATTTTAAATTTTTCCTTTCAGGATTACTCTTCCTAACGCAAATGTCTGAATGTTATTCCTATGCTTACAATTTTTTACTGACTACCTATTGACCATGGAATAGAGCTCAATTCGAAAATCAGCCAAGGTTATGTTGGTTCATACTGTGTTCTTGAGAGTCTTGCTGTTTATCGTACACATCTGCAAATTCTCACCACTTTGTCTTGCTCTGTTATCCACATCCAAGATGTCTTTCTAACTTATTGTTACCTAACAAAATCTTGTCTGTGTAAGTCTCAACTCTAACATCATCTTTATAATAAACCTTTTTATTTTCCTCAGATAAAAATAATTTTTAAACTCCCATGGCACTTTATCTGTATTTATCTCTCTACCCCAATGGCTTTCAATCTTGGACTACAGTTATATGGAAAACTTTCAGTTCATAGTGAAAATTGAGACCAACTTAGTAACTCAATAAACATTCATATTTTCCACTATTTTTAATTACTTAAGAACAATATCAACATCTAAATTTTCTCTTAATTTTGCACATAATATGTAATCCATAAATATGTGTTCGATGAAAGTGAAAATGATTTGAAAGCTGCAAAGTGCAAAACAAATAGTAATAAATAAGTAAGATGGTGCATTGATGATTAAATACTATGGATCCCCAATGAAAATAAGACTTAAAAGCAGGCTTAAAACAAAATAATTTATATTAGGTATAAATTGGCACATTGCAATTAATTTAGAATATTGAATTATTCTTTCATTTCAAAAATTTAAAAACAGTCACAAAATTAATAATTTCCACCTAACATTGCACACAGTCCTAGTTCAAGCCTTAATTGAGAAGAATAATTTATCAATGTCTTAAAAACAAAACTAATCCCCAAATTACTTTTTTATTCTACTTTCTTATGAAAGACTAGAAGGTGGACATGTTGTAAAGTATGCTAAGTGTTGTGGAGTTTAAGGTCTGGATACTAAATACATAATGAAAGCAATATATATTTTCATGTGTGTCTGATTGTCAGTGAGAAGGTAGGAGATGAACAATCTACTTCACAAATGAGAAAGGTCTCCTTTAATTTTTGTTTGTAATCTGTCAACTTGGTAAAGCCCTACATGAGTTTCAAAATGTTTATGATAGTTTTGGAAGGAGCACATGTTTCTGTTCACACTATACTTGCAGACAAATCCAATATTTGGAATCATAATTAAATTGAGAATTAAGGTATGAGATCTAAGGTCAACTACAGGCAAAGTAGTTGGTGCCAATAAGTTGTTTATAAACAGATTATCTGCCTCCTTTCACTTCCTTCTAAGCATAACAGGTCTACTTAACTCTAACCAAATGTTTGCCCATACTCTAAACTATTCTTGATAAAAGACCCTAAAGAGTTCAGTAATTGATGGTTCAATTTCAGTTCTCTCTTCTCACTCCAATTTGACCTGAATGGAACCCAAACTATGTGTGTTTGTGTTTCTACCCTAAACACTCAGGCTCCAGGTGATTCAGAGTCTGTACATGGGTGAGCTACCAGTAGTATCATCTTTACTTCTTAATTCTGTCTCCAGACTGTCTTCCACCCTAAGGCTCACTATCTGAAATCTATTTATGGAAGAAACACATCTACTACTGTTCGGACACCCAGTTGGTCTTACCTTTTACTATAGTTTTTGAACACAACTCGGCCTCGCTTTTTTTCTTGCTTTAAAGATAAATCAATGCCATGGCCTTAAACCCACTTACTGGACCCATGTACCCTTGTATCCATCTCTAGGTCAATGACTTTCTCTGACTCTATATTATAACCCTTAGCCTTTCCATGATACCATGGCATTACCCTTCTGAAGCAACCAGGTTTTACCCACATTCCACTTACTACCGATGAGCAGTGTCAATTTCAGATTATGACAGCACAAAAGAAGATGCATTAATATGAATTTCTGATTAATTTACAATGCTGCCTTTTATACTACAACTGATGTCAACAAAACATGTATTGTGATTACTTACATCAAAAATGACATCACTAATATTAGGTTATCAGGAAAATAAAAGACTAGGAAACAGATTTTATTCCTATCTACTGTAAACTCAGAGTAATAGAGCTCTGTGTGAAAAAGGGCATCCATTAATTTTAGTAACTCAATGTCTTCAGTTATTACCTTACAACACAGTTCATATTTTCCTTTAAGAATTCTTTACCTAATATTTGTTGTCTTCCCTTATACATATATGTACATATAATAACTTATACATTAATTTATATATTAACTGATATATACTAAATTGTATTATAATTTATTCATTGACTAATAAATATATTTACATTGTATATAATTTATGTATTTATTTATATGTCTATATAAATTGCTTGCAATTGAGTATATGGGTATGTGTCATATGACACACGTTTTACATCTCCCCATCCTGATATATGTTCTCTTTATAGAGCATATACAATAAAACTTTTTTTAGTGGTACATGATATATTGTTTTAGTGGAGTATGTGGGTAAGGGTATGTGTGAGGGGGAGGTGTGTGTGTGTGAGTGTATATTGAGAACTGGCTTGTTAAATTGTCTCTTGAGATTCTTCAGTGATGTTGGATACATTATCGACTTCATTCCAAACTTCCCAATATGTTCCTTAAAGCAAAATATCCCTGAGTCAGCATGTCATGGAATACATTTCCTAATTTGATATTATCCATTCACAAGGTGAACATTGTTCATGTGAGTTCTATTAGTCAAAGTTTCATTTGTTCAAGCCCTAAACTTCTAAGGCAGAATACTGAATTTGAATGCTCTGTAGATGACTGAGATCTACTGAGTTAAAACAATTACATTTCTACAATTTTTTGAAAACTAACTTACAATTTGACTATAATTACTAGCTTTAATTTGTGGCCCTAAAGAAATAACACTATTGATATTAGAACACTAAAGACAAAGCCTTGTTAACATAGGTACTATAAATCATGTGCAAAGTGAGTTTGTTTCCATATCAATAAAATAGTGAGCTCAATAAATGAGATTTTCTGTAAGATCTCAATGATACATTGTTGGAAGCCTTAGCAGAAATAAGCTATAGCCATGACATCTTTTTCTTTAATCTGTATTTACCTCTTTTATTTGAGGCAGCACCAACCTCTTCCTTAGCTCGTTCAGTTTCTGCAAATTCAGATATTAAAGAAATGAGAAATGGGTATAGGAGATGCCAGATTGTTATCTTATACTATTGTAAATCAGAGAGAATAAAATTAAACAAAAAATAAAATGTATGTGGCACCTGAGAGCAAAGCAAGCCACAGAGAAAGCCAAACTACAAAGTGCTTGTGTTTTTTCTCAACAAAATTTCTTAAATAACAATATAAAAACTCTCTTCCAAGGTATAACTTCATGATATTAAAATTGTATGCTTATACAAGTAGTGACCATAAAAGAAGGTGGCTTATTCCACAAAATACAATGAGATACTAATTTATTAGTTTATAGTCAAATCTTAACTGATATATAAATTTTAGGGAAGGCACTTGAAAGGCCTTCTTTGTTAGTTTAGCCTTAACTATGGAGATGGCAAATGTATTTGACTTCAGTAAATTCACTCTACATTGTAAGAAATTAGCCATAATGTTATAGGAAATTCCATTTGAATGTTGCTAAGAGAGACAATATAAATGGCCAAAAATGGCTTCTTAAGGTTTCTCTGAATACGTAGTGTGAAAGGTAAGATAGCTACTCTGAAGATATAAACTGAAATGCTGGTCCTAGAACATAATGTTGGACCTCAGATCAAGGCTCCTTAAAGTGTAGGTTTTCTATAGTATACAGGAAAAGAAAAAGGAACCCTCATACACTGTTGGTGGGACTGCAAAAATGGTGCAGTTTTTATGGAAAATCGTATGCATGTTCCTCAAACAATTACAGATAGAGATATGCCATATGACCCAGCCATTCCACTGCTGGGTATATACCCAGAGGAATGGAAATCATCATGTCAAAGGGATACTGGTACTCCCATGTTTATTGCAGTGCTATTTACAATAGCCAAGAGTTGGAACCAGCCCAAATGCCCATCATTGGACGAGTGGATAAGGAAATTGTGGTATATCTACACAATGGAATACTATTGTGCTGTAAAAAAGAATGAGATACTACCATTTGCAACAACATGGATGCATGTAAAGAAAATTATATTAAGTGAAATAAGCCAGGCACAGAAAGAGAAATACCACATGTTCTCACTTATTTGTGGGAGCTAAAAGTAAGTAAGTAAATAAATATATAAACAAATAAATGGGGGGGGGAGACAACACAACAATCACAACAGTTCCTTGAATTTGTTAAGACAATTGAACAAATATGATATTGATGAGGAGAAGCAGGGAGAGGGAAGGAGGAAAGAGGAATTGGTAAAGGGACATGAAAAAAACTATGCTGTATATGGATAAATTAAAATTAAAAAATTTTAAAAACGAAAAATAATGATGAGCTAATGAATTTTTACAAAGCTTTATATACTCATTTTAAACTTTTTCTGATTTGTGGTTGTTCCCCTTGGTCATATATATATATATATATTATTCTTATTCTTATTGGCATTTGTATATCTTCCCCTCCCCCTTATACACTCAGGAGCTGAGGCTCTGGAAATAACCAAACAACAAGAGTCTTCATACCCCTTGTCTTCCCTGTGCCACAAGACCCTGGGCTGTGAGAGAGGTAGACAGAAGGAGGCTTTCACATCACTTTCAGGCTTTAATTCCACAATGTCAGATACCACAAGAGTCACATTTTAAGCCCAGGCAGGAAGTCATATAAATACCCTCTTCTTCAATCTGTCTCAAGACCTTGAGCTCCAGGACTGAGCAGGCCCTGGCTGTTTTTTGTCTTACACATAATGACTTCAGACCAGTGGTTCTCAACTTGAGCATGCATCAGAATCACTCTGGAGGTCTGTTAAAACACAGATGCACGGCTCCAAGGTTCTGATTCTGTGCTCTGAGAATCTGCATTTCTAACCAGTTCCGGGTGATGCTTATGCTGCTGATCTGGAACACACTTTGGAAATTGATTACCAAACTCTTCTTAAGAATCAATCAAAACTAATCTCACTGTGATCCCCATCCCTGTTTATTCAGTTACTACTGTAAATTTCAACCTTCCAGCAGAAAACAGAGTTCATGTGGCTCTGTATTTCTCCTAAAAACTGACCCTTTCCACTGTGTCCTATGCTTGTCAACAGTACTCACCCTTAGCCTCTCAGCCTATATCCTCAAACACTCTTGGAACGTTCACTTTACTTTTTTTACTTTAACCAAACTCTAGCTTCCTAAGGATATTGCACCCCCTACAAGCAGTCTTCTAAACTAGAGAATGTTTCTTTCTCCATCCCCCACATACCAAGGTGTCTGGAAATGATGAATGTATCTTCCTTGCTTCTCATTACTTTTCACAGATTGATACCTCCTTTCTTCCTCTAAATCCCAGTTCTTTTGAAGTACACGCGAACAGGTTGTGCCAGGCTCTACCTCCCTTGATTGTTGTCATCAACCAACCTTGTGGCCATATCCTGTCATTCATTGAACACTCTTGCACATAGTTATCATCTTCTCCGCTATTACTACTATGGAATTTCATTAGGAACCACTCTCATCCCTGTATGCACATTAGAAGAAGTTGGGGGAGTTTTTATGTTTTTATAAGTCTATGCTATTAAGATATCTGGGGTAAGCTATAGAGCTTTGAGATTCAGAGTTAATGAGTCTGGGTTGAGTCCTGGGTATTGGAATATTTATAAGATTTCCAAGATATTCTAATATTTAACCAAGGTTGGGAATCATTGATAAACACAATCCATACAACCACATGATCTCTCATTTCCTTGACCTCCTTACTTGAGAAAACTAGAAACCCCACTCCTCTGATCACTACCACCAATATACCCTTGGATTTTGCCTTTACTGCCAAAACTTTGATTTCAAAAATCTACTCTGGTTCCATTACTTATTTTTAAAAGTCATTTACTCAAGAACTCCCTGTAAATAGTAGCTGACCCCATTAATACTTTCATTCCTTTGATCTCACCACTTTATTACTGCTTAAGATCTTCCTCGTGTCCTCACTTTTCTTCTTGTTGAGAAGCATCACTTCTGGGTAAGAAGGAAGCATCTTGCTTATCTAAACGAGACATGGTTAGATCACTCGCCTACTTCCTGTTTTTATAGTCACCTGCTGTATTAGATTTCTAGGGCTGCCTTTAATCTGTTGGGTGGATAAAAACAACAGGAACTTTTTCTTTCACAGTTTTGGAGGCTGTGAGTCCAAAATGAAGGTGTTGGTAGGGAACTCTGAGGCTCCCTCTGAGTGGTGGTGCCAGCAATTCTTGGCATTCCTTGGCTTGTAGCTGCATCACTCCAATTTCTGCTCTTATGTTCATATGACTGTCTTCTCTCTGTGTCTATATGTCTAATATTCATATGACTGTCTTTTCTCTGTATGTGTCTATGTGTATGCAAATTTCCCTCTCTTTATAAGGGCAACAATCTTCAGATTTAGGGCCCACCCTAATCCACTAGGACCTCATCTTAACTTGGTTATTATATCAGTGAAGGTCCTATTTCAAAATAAGGTCACATTCACAGGTGCTTGGTTAAGACTTCAAAATATCTTTTGGTGGGGCAGGCAGGGGTGGGGACACAATTCAACCCACTGTAGCCTGCCAAAACTATTTTATGCCTGTTACCTGAGCAGCCATCCCAACTGCAGGAAGACTCCCACCCTGCTGCAGGCCTCACTTCAAAGGCCACTCGCAACATTTAAGAGTGTGCTCAGCACCAGCCAGTACTGTCACAGACCTAGTGAAGTTGCTTTTGCACTGATACCCTTGATGACTGCTGTATGGATTCTCTTCCCTCCTCAAACATGCAACATCCTGCAGCATAAAAGCAAGCTGCTATTGAGAAATTCACAAGAAAACAGCAGCAAACTAGACTAACTCATTTCCACCACCTCACCAGCACACACCCGCATTGTCTTCTTTCTGGTCCCAATAGCTGATAGTCCCTGCCCCTATTTAATACCAGTTCGCCCCTTTTTGCCCTGGGTCCCATCTCTTTTTGCCTAGCCGAGGCCTTTGCTCTTGCAAGCATTGTTTCTATCTGCTACCTTTTCAGTTTTCCCCATCACTGATGCTGTTTCATCATCTTAGAAGCAGCCACTGTTGGTGAGCACAGACAACCATAGGCCAACCCCACCACCTCCCCTCTGTGTGCCATACAGCCTCGCACAGCCACTGCAGCCCTGCCGCCAGTCCATCTTCTCACTTACTGTGAAAGATGTAATATAAATGAAAGGCATATAGCATTTTCACACTTTATAATGAATGGCTGCAAGAATGCTCATCTCCATAATGCCCCGAAAGCTTAAGAAACCGAGTATCACCAGGGAAATCCCCTATGACCGTTGCATGTCTCTCCCTTCATCTCAGTTACCATTGCCTGACATTTGTATTAACGACTTCCCTATTTTTCTATACAAGTTTTTATTACATGTATTTATGTCTAAACTAAGATCATTTTATATAATTAAATTATTTTGTTTAGTGAGAAAACCTCATATAAGGTGCATTATACGAGTATTACTTGATTCTTATGATTTGTTTCTTTCAAAACTTTGTGTTGAGATGCAGTCATGTTGATATGAGTGGCTGTAGTTGCTTAATTTCAAGTGCTTTTCAGTATTCCACTGTATAAATAATCTACAAATTACATATCCATTCTCCTGCCAATGGACACTAGGCCAAGTCCAATTTCGTGCTATTGTAAAATGCTGCTATGAAAATTCCTGTACATATCTCCTTGTTCTTCACATGTGCAAGATTTTTTTTAGAAGTAAAATGGCTAAGCCATAGTGTGTGCTCATGTTCGACTTCCCTAGATTTACACTCACATCAGCAGTGTATGTCAGAGTATCTATTGCTCTGTGTTATTACCATCACTATAATGATCATATTTCCCCATTTTCTATCAATCTGGTATGTGTAAAATCGTATCTTATTGTGATATTAAGTAAAATCCCATTACTAGGGATTGAACATCTTTTTATATATTTATAGGGCATTTTTATTTTTTTTAATGCTTGATTATATCTTATGAGCATTTTTTTCTGCCCACTGTTCTATCAAGTTCTTCTTATTTTTATTTTCTTAGTTCTTAGAGTCGTTTACTTAGTTTTTGCTTCTAATTTCTTGTTACCTATATGTATCACAAATATCTTTCCCAAGTTTGTGGCTTGTCTTTAATCTCTTTTTATGGTGTCTATTGATAAACTGAAAAACAAAAAAAAATAAATTGAAGTTCTTAATTTTAATATAGTAAAATATATTAGCATTTTAATTTATGGCTTGAATTTTGCATATCTAGTTTTTCAAATCCTCCCATACTTCAAGAAAATATGTAAGTATATTGTTCTATGCTTTTTTTTTTAACGCCATGTTTTGCCTTTACTATTTAAGTCCTTGAACCATCTGGAATTGATATTTTGGAATTGTATGAAATAGGGATAAATCATATGTTTTGTAAAGAATACCAACTACATCAGCAACATTTAAAAATAATCAACCTATCCTCTGACTATCTGAAATAGCTGCTTTCTTATGTCAGAGTTTTGCTGCAGTGGGGTGTATTTTAGGTCTCTTTTTTTCCCCGCCCTATTAGATGATTTGTTTACATCTACATCTGTACCATACTACCTCTTATAATACAATATCATGAGACTGCTTATCACTAAGACTCAGGACATATAGTGCTGGTCTCAGCAGCCATACTTTATAGTGCTATTTTACTGTGATCATTATGTACTTTTCTAATACTGAAATTTATTCTTGTTTTCGCATTTGAAATCCACTCCCTCTCCTTCCTGCCTCCTCATGTCTAAATTGAACTCAGATTTTACTTTTGCTAGTATTCATCTATCTAGTTTGGATCTATTTGAACCAACACTGATGAACATTCTTGGACTCTGAACCATGCACCCACAGTTCCAATTCGGGGCTGGCACCCAGGACACCAACCTTGGCTTTACCCATAGTCTTAAACAAGAAGCACATCTTGCCATACCACCTAAGTCAGGCCCAGCTTTCTCACATTCTCATTTTCCTGGTACTTACACCTCCTAAAACCATCAGTCTCAGGCTGTTTCAGTACTCCTTTGAGTATATTCTGACAGCAGTATCTGCGATGACATGAGCAGTGATACAACTTATTATCCAAACTGAGTAAGTGAAAGGAGGTGCTGGTATTAATTATTCTGGAAGAATATAGCAAACCAACCAAGACTGTCTTAACCAATTGAAATTCACAGTCATATCTGGCATGAGGTGTGTGGTCTAGACACACCCCATTTGATATCAGGCATGCTGGTTCAGGCCCAGAGACCATTTCCCCCAGTAATTTCCATGCCAGACTGCTTAAATTGAGTCCAAAAAAAGGTGCCATTTTACTAATACAAATTGCCCCCAAATATTCTTCACATGTTATATAACTGAATAAATTCAATGGGACTTTACTTTAAATTCTCCATACTGGCTTCTCCTGCATGATTCCTACATGTATTAATAGATTAGGTGATAGATGTCTGACTTGCACATTTAGACACTGAAGTATGGTTAGGTGATGAACACAGTCAGGCTTAGTGGCAGAGCATACCTTCAAATCTGTGCAGTGCTAAAATCAAGGAATGAAAAATGCGTAATTGCTACCATTTTATATAAATTCAGATACTCAATTATAAATGACTAGCTTTTGGCCCTGACCTGGTATTTGGCAACTTGTTTGCTCGGAATTAAAACTGACCACTGGCTGGTTGAACATGCACATGGAATACATGACCAGAGTCTCAAGTGGAATGAAGTGGTCTGTGACCATGCTTCCCAAGGTCATGAAAAACACTGATCCCTGAAGTGTTCATAGAAAATAGGGGGTGAGGTGGTCAAATCTATCTGGTAAACAATATTGACTACCTTCTTTCTCTAAGATTAAAAGATCTGAAATACCCTGCAGTCTAAAAATCTACTTGTTTGTTCCTCTTCCTGCTTGGAAATGACCAATCATATCGTTAACCTTTATGTTACTATCAACATATTGGGAGGCACATGCAGGGGACTGCAGCAGAAGAATAGGACATGGTGAGGCATTTTTGCTTGCCCCTATGATGGAGAAAGGAATGTGCGCCGACTTAACAGAAATTGTAAATCTAGGTTTGGCATCCCTCTCTGGTTTAATGTGCTCTTCCTCCACCTGTGCCATACCCTGACACAGAACTTTACATGTGGAGGCATTAAGCGCCCCTCATTAGCACTGCATCATTGGACCTGGAAGGTTTCCCTTTTTTTTCAAGCTCATGGTAACATGAGAACCTCCAGCCTGAGCTGATACAGCTCCCAAGCTGTTCATGTCCTCTTGTGCTTTTCCTCCAGAGATCTTGATTGTTTTCTCAGGACCTAGAATAAACAGTTCCAAACCACTAACTCAATTCATATTCTAGTTATTTCTTTTAGTCCTGAGTTAATGACAAATTGCCTTTTACTTTTTCCATGGAATTGCTCTAATCTGTCAATCTACCCTTTTAAATTCAATACCATGGAATTGTATCACATAAGTATTTATCTTAGCTCAGCTATATGTCTCTCTCATTTGCTTTCATAATTTAAGATAATGTAAAATTATACCCCAAATGTGCACCAAAATGTGCACACAAAACGGTGTGCACCACACTATCTGAATGACTTAAGGGATTTTCAAGAGTACTTGTAATGATATGTAATTTTCACCGTAGGCATTAACTTAGTAGCCTACTGCATATAGCAGCTGTATAAAAATTCTGTTGTATGATTTCAATGCCAAAAACCAGTTCCTTTTCCAGGAAAATGGTTGGTCACTTTGTTATCAGAGAATTTAAGTACTTTGTGAACTAACTCTAACTTTGGAGTTGAAGGATATAGTCCATGTCAGGTAGAAATCTCTCAGTCATCTAAGGAGTTAAATATTAACGTTCTGAAACTTTTATATTAGTTTTAAGATGATTTGGCAATGTAAATTGCTAATTTCCTGCAGAAGATGCTGATCTCTTTAAAACCTGATTGGATAGCGTGTTTCATAGATAGGAGAATTTACATATTTTTTATTACAAATGAATACTTTTATCAATATGTCACATTTTTCTAGGAAGGAAATGTTCATTTTCAGAGTAATCTTCAATCTAAAGTCCTCTACCAGTGCTGCAAAATTACCAGTTTTGTTTTATATATTTTCTTGATTATGCATTTCTACAGGCTGAGTGTTAACATGCTAAAGACTCTATAATATAGAGCTCCAATCAGCTTTATATTCAACTAAAATTTTTCATGGAAATACAAATAGAATTTTAGATTCATGTTAAACTTCTCTTTTCAAGTCCTCAATGTCAATGTGAACACCTCCAACTATAATTTTTTTGTATTAAAAAAGTCTTTCTCACCAAGTTACTTAATATATTTTCCGATTATTCGCTGATATATCCACCAATGATATATTCTGTGTCGAAAGACTGGCACTACATAAAATATACATTTGTTTTAAGGACTAGTATTATTATCAATATTTATGCACCTCGAACTCAAAAGAAAATATAAACATTTTATCATGCATAGAACTAAGATTTGACCATAAATCCTAAATACAAAGCTTAGAGAAGCTAAACCTATTTTTTCCTAAAATCAAGTACTTGCCAATATGATTAAAATAATTTTCACTAATGGCAATCTGTCAGGACTTCATCAGATTGAGATACACCAACAAAGAAATGAGCATTTCTCTCTAAGCATATTGTCAAAGTTAACATTCATATGAATGTCGTGGTATGCTATGGTTATCAGTCAATATTTCACAAACTGAGAATACAAAGCTTAAAAAGGAAATTATGACATTACAATAGCAGTTTGTCATTACAATTATAACATACATTTCTTTTTTTTTTTTTTTTTTTCCTTTTTGTCTTTTTTCGTGTCCGGCAACGGATCGCTACCCTCAGTGTCGCGCCGGTACCGGACCGGGACCGGCAACGGGATCGAAACCCTTGGTGCTGCGCCTGCCCCTCGCTCAGCCAGTGAGCGGAAACCGGTCTGTATGTGGGATCCGAACCCTCGGCGGGAGCGCCGCCGCGCTCCCAAGCAGCGCACTGTAGCAGTGCGCCACCGGGCCGGCCCCATAACATACATTTCTTATTTCATCCAATAAGCCATTATCAAGTGCCCACTGTGTGACTGGCATTATCTGGAAATAAAGAGATAAAAAATATTCTCTATTCTTTAATGTTGTGGGGATAAATTTAACTAAAGACATGACTTTTGCAGTAGACTATGTTGCCTACTGGTTTGATCAAGTGATTAATAATTAGGATAATCAAGTGTGATGTGTTTAAGAAACAGAAGAGATAACATTCTACAAAATGGGAAACAAAAATACAAACAATTCAAAAAGGGGTTAGACCTGGACAAATTAATACCTACAAATGAAAGCTCTAAGATAAATTTTAATAAGAATGAATTCACACAGAAAAGGCAGGGATGACCAATTTTGCATATTATTTCAACACAACAAATAATCGCACCAAGAAACATTTGGTAAACCAGCATCAAAAATTAGCATTAGCAGTGTCTATAGCAGAAAACTCAAATGAGTAAGCTGCTAAAATATGCTCTTTTTAAAAAGTTTTGTTTGACATACTTGCTTTTACTTGTTTTTCACTTGGAGCTGTTAATGACAAGAAATAATAAGGTCCACATTAATAACAAGTCTACTTATTTCTTTCCAAAATAATTTTAATGTTATTTTAGTTGTCTGAAAGACTGTATATATGATCTTGATAACTAAAAAAAGAAAAAAAATAGGTCTGAGAGAGAAAAACTACAACACTCTGCCGTTGTCTTTGAGGTACTCTGAATATGCTCCTTGAACCAGAGATACTTTTTGTTTGGTACTCATACAACTTCTCCCAACACAGATGCTCATTCATGACTTATCTGTTTTGTTCCCATTTTAAATTACCTAAGGATCTGGTTGTTTTTATATGCAGGCAAATATATGTTCCTCAAAGTTTATAAAATAATATGAAAATAATGAATGTACTTGATACAATGTTTTCAATTTTTAAAATACAGCTAATTACTGCTAAGTTGCTACACTGTAACAACACCCTGAAATGAACAGATGATGATTTCAAGCAATTTAAATTATTGCGTTTTGTCAGGTTCAATATTGAACAGTGATATGTAGCTGTTGAGACTCTTAAAATTGGTTACCCCAATAGTCATTGTGTATGTCCCTCCATGTCTCTGTGATGTATGCTCTATTTTAGCTTTTTGCATATGGGCATAAGTGAGAACGTGTGTTATGGCCCACTGCGGGAATGCACCCTTAACAAAAAGGTTGCTCTCTGTAAAGCAGACAAATCATTCCTTCCCAAAGGCTAAAGAGTATGACTGTTAATGTGAAATGGTGAAATATGTGATTATTTCATCTTGTAGTTTATAGGGATCATTCAGTTGTCAAATTTTTTTTAAAAAGTGATTATTCTATTTGATGTTTCTTATTTCACCCAATAAACCATTATCAACTGCCTAGTGTGTGACTGGTATTATCTGGGAATAGAGAGATAAAACAAATTCTCTATTCTTTAATTTCTATCCTCTATTTAAAGTGGAAAAAGGAAAAGGTAATATGATTATAGCAGTGTGTTAAGTGTTATTATAAAGGTAAGAAAGTGATGCTGTGGAAATTGGTTGGAGAGACATCTAAACTAATTTGGGTTGTCTAAGGAAATTTCACAAACTTGGGGAAAAAATGAGAACCGTGTCTTCAACCTGTGGTTCGCTGTGGCTTGTGGCAGGGGTGAGACTATAGGTCAGCTATATTTGCATGGTTATATACATAACATTGAGTAAATGCTGTTTCCATTTAAAGCCAGTGACATGAGAGAAATGACTAATGAACGTTATGAGGCTATGACTGTCTTCATATACTCCCACAACAAACAAAAAACTCAGTGAAACTCTTTGAGTAGAAGTTAGCCAGGCAAAACCAACAGGTGATGTTTTAGAATGAGGTCAATAGAAAAAGTTTCAGAAATTTTCGATTGAAATGACTAATTGGGCAGTTAAATGCTAGAACACTGTAAGAAAACAACTTGGAATCCACACCAAATGCACTTGTGGTTTTTGTTGATTGTTTGTCTGGTTGTTTGACTCTCAATCTAATCTGTTTTCTTGTTAGAATGCAAATATATTGAGGGCAAAATCTACCTCTACTCTGACTGCAACTCCTTAGAGCACTCAAGAAATGTTTTTAAGTATCATTATGAATAGAAAGAAAGTATTTACTGAAATTGAATACTTTATATTTTAAAAGCAAAGCAATATGAAGCACATCTATAGAAAGTGTTCTGTTCTTGTTTTGTTTTGTTTATACTAAAACTGTGAAACAGTGTTTCTCAAACACCGCACAGATGAATCTACTGGAGATCTTCTGAAGTTGCAGATTCTGATTCAGTAGGTCTGAGGTGGGGCCAGAGATTCTGCATTTCAGACAACCTGTTAGTTGATCCTAATGCTGCTAGTTCATAAAACGCATATCGAGTAGCAAGGGTGTAACATATTACTTGGTTTTTATTTTCTAAAACTGCATTGATGTTAAGTCTATGTCAAGAACTTGGAAAAAAAGACCATTAAGATGGAAGGATTTCTTGCCCTTTACCATCTTTTCTGCTGCCACCCGTCTGAGGCTACACCATTAATAAACATTGAACATCTGGCAAGAAGAGTCCAACAACACCAGTGTTACTCACCTGAGTGTTCTTTCTTTGGTGACTTTGCTGAATCAAACAAGAAAAGAAAAATCAACATTCCATGTCATCCAGTTGCAATTCAGTATTCAATTGAAAATTAAATAATATGAAATAAGATAGAGGAATTTAAAAACAGTTACCTGGTTCCACATGTTTTTCTTTCTTTTCCTGTCCTGAAACATAGTATTATTGTAATTGTTATTTACTATTCCAATTATGTGTTGTAACTTAATTGTTGTAATACGAATAAACATGCATGTACTGATGCTGGATTGCAACAACTGATAACTGCCATGAAAAGACTAAGATTGGAAATGTCCTTAAAATAATTATTTCCTTCCATTTTCCTTGGGCGTTCTCTCACAGAGCAGCATCAAAATACTATGAATATTAGGGGAATTTAAATTTTTGAAATATAATTAAATTATATAAAAATATAATTTAAATTTTTTAAATATAATCCATAAAGATTGGAAAAAAATTAAATTTGCTCTCATATTAGATGAACATAAAATAAATTTGGGACAAAAAAAGCACAAAGAATAATATGGCAGCTGTTTTAAAATAATTGTCAGAATGACGATCACTGACAAATTTCAGGTGGACTTCCTCTTCTAAGGGTCTTATATTGAAGAGAGATTTCTTAAGCTAAGATAAAATCTTTGTTGAAGCAGGTTAAAGACTAAAATAGACTAAGAAATTTCAGGGAGAAGCAAAGCACACTTGCCTTGTTTTTAGGACAAATGCTTCTTATGGAGTCCTCCTTAGATAGTGGGACTTTTTTTTTTAAGAACCTACTTTTGTCAACATTATATGAGATGAAGCATTATTCTGGCCTCAAGTTAAGCTCACATTTACAATATAATAAGTACTAATTTTATATGAAGTGCTATTATCTACTTTCCTATTATTTATCTTGTCTTGACAAGCTTGTCAAATTAATTTAAAAGATTTTTAGAGAAATGCTTTAACATAGACACATTATTACTTGTTAAAATGGAGAGCTTTTTTTTTGAAGTTTTATTTAATGAATAGATTTTGAAGACTAGAATAGTTTATGCTGAAAGAGTTCTACGAAATATATTTCAGAAATATAAAGTGCCATAGAATCTTCTACGGTCATTGCATCTCTCTCTCAATTGTACAATTTTGTTTATCATGCTTCTGGTTATGCAGGTATAATGAGCAACTTATCCACTTCCAAGACAGCATGCAGGCAGTAAAACAAATAAAATAATTGGCTTGACCAAGTGATGCAGGTCAAAAGGAAGAAATTTAGGTGACTTAGATAAAATTAAGCATAGCAAGAAGATTACCAAATTTTGTCTGGCTAATGAGAGAAATTAAATATATTGCTTAGTTTACTTCTGAACCAAAGTTCCAATTGTAAACCATTTCTAAGAAATTTGTAAAATAATGACAGTTAAAAAAAGTAAACAGAAGCAGATTCAGTTATGCATAAAAATTGAACACTAGCAATATGTGATATTGAAAGTCAAAATAAAGGCCTCCCAATCTTATCAGAAAGCCATCAAGTAAGCAGAAAAATTCCTGTGCTAATTTGGAACAATATGTAAGAAAAGGCCCTCGAAAAGGTTTATTATGTGGGATAGTTCAGGATGTAAGTATTGAATTATCTTAATAAACATGAATTAATTTACTCTTCAGTTTTATTGGGACAGCAAAAATCATGCCCATGCTTGATTTTTTAAGTTGTTTTATTTTGAAAAAATAAAGATAGGTCACAGGGATGTGCAAAACGTACAGGAAAATCCCATGTACTCTTTATCCTGTTTCCTTTACTATGATTTATTTTTAAACTGAGGGAAAAAAATATTTTAAGTTATGATAAGTAGAAAAGTAGAAGCAAAAGTAGAAGTATAGGGTCAGAGTGTGTAAATGAATGAAGCAATCTTGAAGATAAAAAATATAAATCAAATTCAAAGACACAACAATAACAATAATAAAAGCAAGTTTAGATGATACATTGGAGCAAATAAACTAATTTGAAGACAATTAAGAAGAAAATTATTTCTTACTGCCCAAGTAACAATCCACAGACCTTCTCAATGAAGGTAGTAGTTGGGTGATAAAATGAATTCATGGGAAACATGTTTATTTATTAAATACATCAATTCCCTGAAGATTGCCAAGGAGCTGCAGTGTATCTGCAGGAACTTTTTTTTTTTTTTTCTTTTATAATTTTTATTTTGTCAATATACAATGTATATGATTATTATGGCCCATCACCGACACCTCC